GTAATGAATCATGTTCACATTATTTTCCCTGATAGATGAGGAGATGATGTCCACAGAGGTGACTCCATCAACCAGCTCCGAGCTTACTGAATTGGGCAAATGCTTAATGAAACAAGAGGTAAGGAAACTCTGGTTCAATATTGTCTTTATATTGTTTGTGAGAATTGAAGGATTCACTTTAACTCTTAAAAACTGTAAAGTCTGATAGTAATTTCTTCCTACTTCTCATTCTTTGGGGGAATTTGTTGTTTTAGCCCCCTATTATTTTTTTTAGAATAAATTCAGGAGGCGAGCAATTCTGAATATCTTTGTTCAAAATAGACAATCATAGATAGATAGATGATGGATGGATATATAAATAAATGCAGTCATAAACTCATATTGTATGACTATTCCTTAGCAGCGGAAATCATAGCCGTCCCAATTGCCATTAAGTGAGGACCTCACATGAGTCCATTGTAACAACAGTCAGGAGTCCCTGGCAAGCACAGTAGTGGGTGGGAGCTACCGGCCAAGGAGTTACTGTGGGAGCTAGGGAGCATGGCGCTTGCTAGCAGCACTCCTTGGCAGCAGCCTTCAGCAGTCTTGTCCCACGCCATTGTTCCCAGCACGTGCCAGCCTCAAGCCCCCTTCTCCCTAGTGCCTGCCCATAGAATTTACCACCCTACCCATAGCTCTCAACCACTTGCCTGAGAAGCCTGCCTCTTTCTAGACCAGTGATGGCGAACCTTTTAGAGACTGAGTGCCCAAAATGCAACCCAAAACCCACTTATGCATTGTTGAGTGCCGGGTGGGTGTGGCCCATTGGGTGGGCGTGGCTGTGGTGGTAACAGCAGACTGGGTGGGACTAAAAAGTTCAATCAATCAATTCCAACTTTGCAAGATCTTTTTTTTCCCCACGAGAAGCTGAAATTGGCTGATTGAACTTTTTTTTTTTTTCCACACGGCAGCAGAGGCCTAAAGCGAAAAGGTTTTATAAAACCCAGCTGAAGGTCTAGGACTGGGGTGACGGTGCGCGTGCCCACAGAGAGGGCTCTGAGTGCCGCCTCTGGCACCCGTGCCATAGGTTCGCCACCCCTGTTCTAGACAAAGAAGATAACAAAAATAAATTGGCGGTGATGGGGTGGCAATCCTGAGTGCAGGCAGGCCCAAATTTTTATCTCGTGACTGCAGGCAATGCACTGGCTAGAACTTTGAGGATCAGTCATAAGTCCTTTTTCTCAGTGCCGTCGTAACTTTGAATAGTTACTGAATTAATGAGCATAACTTGAGGACTATCTGTAGGCTCTTTTCCTGATTCAGCAAAGCCTTTCTTCTGTTTTTGAAGAAAAGAAAAAAAACATTCTAACAATTATAACATTACCAGTTATATCCCAGCAGCCCTAGAGATTGGGAAGATTTCTCTGTAGGAAAAAAAAAATGGTCTGTGAACTTAGAAATGATACACAGAATATTTAGTACAGATCTGCTTTTTAAACAAGCAAATACGCTCTTAAAAGCTATTGTTTTTTGTGAAAATCTTTTAATTTATCATGAATGTCTTTTTACAATAATATGGAAATATTGTGGCCAGATGTTAGTTCTGTGGAGAAATAGGGTGATCCATCTTTTTCTACTTGATAAATTTGATAAAGAAACATTTTCTGTGCTTTATGAAACATCTAGAGTTCTTATGTACCATTTAATTCTGCCCTATAACTAAGAGTTCTTGACCTATAAGACAAAAATTCTGCAAACCTGTAACTGGCCTAACTTTCTTTTCATTTTTCCCCAAGAATGTCTGTACTGCTCTGCTAATTACGGCTTTCACATCCCTTTCCTGGAAGGATACCTTGTCCTGTCAAAGAACTACCACCCAACTCTGCTGGCCATTGCTCAAGCAGGTACTTGATACTGAGTTTAGCAGGGTACTTTGTAATGCATGTAATAAAAGGATATTATATTAAATAAAATAGGGGTAAATATCAGAATTTTGGAAAACAGCCCCTTCTCCCCATCTTGTTTCACTTCCATCCCTCTGCCATAGGTGCTCACAAAGAATTTGATGATCCCTGAAGCAGTGACCTGGTTTTTCACAAGCGTACTGAAAGGCTTACAGGTTCACGGACAACATGATGGCTGTATGGCAGCGCTTGTCCACTTGGCTTTCCAGATCTACGAAGCTTTGGTAAGGAGTGGGGGAGAAAATCCATTCCCAGATCTGTTGCCGTCTTTGTGGTGTAGTGCCACTCCAAGTCCAAGGCCCATTTCGGTGGGAGGCAAAGTTCTGAACATATCAGTAGTGGTTAATTTCCTCTTTGGAAATAGCCATTTCTCTTCTGGCAAAGATCCCTGCTGAATTCTTCTCTTTGTTATTTGAAGCGCCCACGCTATGCCGAGTTGAAAACAGTGATGGAACAAGTTCCAGAAATCCAGGCGTATTCCCTGGAGCAGTTTGATTCCAAACTACTCAATGTAACGCTTCAGAAGGTGGCAGACAAACGGCGGAAGGACCATTTCAAACGCCTAATTGCAGGCTGCATAGGGGTAAGACACGATGTCAAGCAACAGAGAAAACATCTCATCTCTCAGAAGGATAAACAGATTTTTTTTTCCTTCCCCCTCTGCTGGCTTTAATCGATGTCAGGGCTTACCTTTTCAGCCCATTAGTTGTGACTTACGTTACACAAATCCTAAATTGTGATGGTAGAAACATTGCAGAGATCTAACCATGTAGCCTTTGCTATTCTGTATGATTCAATATATTCTCCTGAACCTAACACATTTTATCCTTCCTGGGCCATCCATGGCTGATTATCTACTGCCTAATTGCTACAGAATATATAGCAGTGATGGCGAACCTTTTAGAGACCGAGTGTCCAAACTGCAACCCAAAACCCACTTATTTATCGCAAAGTACCAGGGCTGCATCAGCATTGTGGTGCCCTCGGGGGTGGGGGGGTGGCCCACTGGGCGGGCGTGGCTGCAGTGGTCATGGCAGACTGGGTGAGCGTGGCCAGGGCCAGTCCCTTGCCATCCCCAGGGGGCCAACGCGCTCGCTCACTCACTTCTTGCCCTGCCGCTTCCAAACGCCACATGCTCACTAACTCTGGCGAACTCTGCTGGGGCAACGGTGCGCGTGCCCACAGGAGAGGGCTCTGAGTGCCGCCTCTGGCACGCGTGCCATAGGTTCGCCACCACTGATATATAGCATTTGATACTTTGTTTCTGGCTTTGACTTGAATGTGATCTGAGTTAAAGTCTGCACATGCTGAACAACCCAGGATACAGGAACAAGACGCAGCACCCACAATTATGAGGGGGGTCATAACACCATGGGGGGGTGGGGGAGGTGGCAGAAATTCTACAATTTTAGCAGAGGCTATTCTTTTTGGACTATTTCTATGCATAGTTTGCCTATTCTTTTTTGTTTCCTTGCAGAAGCCCCTAGGAGAACAATTCAGGAAAGAAGTCCACATCAGAAACCTTCCATCTCTTTTCAAGAAGGTGAAAGCGCCCTTAGGACAAGACGTTTTTGAGAACAATGAAGATGAAATCCTCATTGCCCTCTTTGAGCCATAAGCTGAAGACAATTCCACTCCCTTTTTCCTCCTTTATACTCTGTCTTGTTTCATAGTAGCCATATTTCCTTTCTTTCCTCCTTTCCTGAGCCTTGATACAGTTCTCACTGGCCTCATTCTCCTTTTGGGGGGCGGGGGAATGGGGAAGATTTTCTAGCGCCACTTGCAACTTTACGGTATAACTTTCTTTTTTTACTGTTGGGTGGCAGTTGCTGAGGCATTCCAGTCCAACTGTCATTTGGCCAGTTCTTTAGGAACAAACCTTCATATATGCATACAGTACTTGATAGGGAAGGGAGAAGATTCTGCAGCCTCTCATTCTCTCTGCCACTTCTCCTTCAGGACCCCTGTATGGTTGCTGCCTCAACATGACACTAATAGGAGACTCCTGCTTCCCTGTTGGAAAGACACAGCTTGGATGAAGAAACGCAGATGTGCATATTGGATATTGATGAATCACTTTAAGTTACGCTAACTCAAAATTTTGTTATTTTCGAGAAGTAGCACTTGGCCATATGTTCCACCAAACCAAGCACCAATGAGAATCTGAGAGTGAAAACATTTTTTTAATTCAACCCTCAGGGAGACTCAAGTTAAATATACATCATTTGCCCTAGAAACATGGTTGAAATAGGTATTCTAGCTGCAATCAATCCTCAGCTGTCAAAAGTCAGAATTTTCTAAACAAAAGGAATTCAGAATTATTTTATACCGGTCTAAAATAACATGCTGAAATGTGCCCTCGAATGTAGAGCAGTATAATTCTGGATTGTTTTGTTCGGTGTCTGATGGTACAGAATGCCTCCAGGCCAGGTCTTAAATGCTTGTTGTCCAAGAGAGATAGAATGTGGGCGTAAATTTGCCAGATTTTAATTTTCAGTCTGAAGAACTAGTATCAAATAAATCTTTCCTTAGTGACTGCTGTAATAGATTGACTACAGATACAACAGAATGTTTTTCAATTGAGCGGCTTAGTAGTATACACATCTGGTTACGTGACAGAATACAGGTCTTAATGTTAATATTTGGATCCTCACTACTAGCCAGACTCCACTCTGACTTGTTTATAATCCTGATTTCAGTGTAACATTTATTTAAACCAAATTCCCCTGCTAAATAGTTTTGAAAACTAGCCTAACTGTATTTATTGTGTCTTAATTACATTTTAACTTACTGTGCCCATAATAGACGCATTTAAAACAAATGAGGGGGTTTTTGTAGGGATGTTGTATCTGAGGATCTCTCCAAATCAATGTCAGTAAAAATATCTTCATTTTATACAAACATTGCTCTTCCTTTGCATTAACTCTTTCCACACCTTTTTTGAACATCATCACCACAATTGCTCTCTGGGTCAAACACTGCACAATGAGAATTGCATACTTAATACAAAACATGCTACCCTGACTGAAGCACTCCTCTTCCAACACATTAATCAGCTGCATCCTTTGGAAGGCCCACTCAACTACTACAAAATATGTACCTGATTGTGCATGCATAAATTTTCACAGAAATCTTTAGTAAACTTTACACATATAGTAAGTAAGCATAGACTTTAAAGCAGCAATGCAAAGCTTGCAGATGTGTTAATACTTCAAGCTTTTGTGTGAATGCTTTGTCTTGCTTTGCTGACTATAGTCAAATATTTTAAGTTTTGGGTAAAAATTAGGCATTCTTGTCAAAGTTGGGCAACTCCAGTTTTTCAAGGCTAATAGGATTGTTCAATAAATTAAAAATAAATTTTCTGATAAAGTAGCAGAAGGAACTAGAGCAATTAGTGTCCTATGCCTGCTACTCTTTTCATATACGCTACAAAAGGTTATATACTTAGCTCACATACCTCAAAGACCTATATACAGTATTCCTATGTTAAGAGAGGATTTCTTGCAGCTTAATTTTTCTAATTCAAGTATTTTATCAATCTTCTCTCCTGTTTCAATTTAGAAATGCTCTATCAATGAATAATGGATTAAACAGGAAGGATATTCAGGTTTTGTTAGAAAGTAGCTAAAATGTACCTTCTTAACTTTGAAAACAGTTGGAATCCCAAGAGAATACTCAGGGTGGGAGGAATATTCAGGAGATCTTTTCCCTACTTTAAAGAGAGGCATGTATCCCAGTAACAAAAAAGTAACAAATAAATGTACTGAGAGAATGTTAGGAAACCAGCATATATATACATAAATGTACTAAATAATGACAGTTAACAGGATTTAAATTCTTGAAAGAATCAAGGAGTATTTTCATGAATGTTGAAGCAGAGAATTGTATAGCTCAGACACAGACCTACTGACTTGGTGGTGGGTTTTTGTTTGTTTGCTGACTGGTAGGAACTATAGACTGTAAAACTGTGTCAGTAGTACTTAGTACCAGATCAGCAAAAAAGTACTACATAATAGGTGATTCACTACACAGAGGTAAGATTTCTACACCACTGTTGTAATGAAAACTAAGACTAACACAGGAAATTGGACAGTTCACTCTAGAAGTCTCCAGGTGCACGTGATTGCAAAATCTTATCAAAGGATGACATGCACCATCGCTGGACTGCAAATAGTACACAGGGCACTGTGTTATCCTGAATTTTCAGTTGTGTCCATGATATGTAAACAATAGCAATGGTACAGCAACCATTGTTCTTCTTTGACATCTCGGAAGGGCCATTTTCTTAAGAGACCGATGCAGTCTTGTTTAAAATTGTTCCTCTTCCAATCAGACGTAGGGATTTTGATAATGGTATTTTCCCCACAAGAGTCTTTGTGTTCCCAAGCTTATTTCTTCTGGATGGATTTTAGCTCCTCTAAGAAGCGCTGGCATTTTCCCATTAGTACCTTGATTGCTTCACTCACCAGCACATCTGGAGGCAAGATGCCTGTGGATTCTACAGAGACTGATGGGGAAAAAAGGGTCTCAGTTTGAATTATCAAGAAGCATAAACACAAGATACCTTATTAAACAGTTAAGTAGCATATAACTCAGGGGTAGTGAACCTTGGCTCTTTTATGACTCGTGGACTTCAACTCCCAGAATTCCTGAGCCAGCTAAGCTGGCTCAGGAATTCTGGGAATTGAAGTCCACGAGTCATAAAAGAGCCAAGGTTGCCTACCCCTGATATAACTTACTGTTGAACAGTATGATTCATTACTAGGCACCAGACTACAGCTGCATTTAAAAGTCTGTGAACCCTTTGAATTTGCAATATTTCTGCATAAATATGACCTAAAAGATCATCTGTTCTCCATACGTGTTCTAAAACTAGATAAAGCGAACCCAATTAAACAAATGAGTCAAAACCCCGAATGCTTTATTCCAGAGCCATATTGTCACTCCTTTCTTGAAACTCAGTAAGGAGGAGCAATCCTTATTTGTAAAGACAAGGTGTTCTACAGGATCAGCATCATCCCTGAGAAGAGTCTTCTGTAGATCAGCGTTTCTCAATCTGGACGAGTGTAAAAACTTGGTGTTTTTCAACTTCCAGAAATTCCCATCTAACAAACTATAGATGAAGTTACTTTGGTCAGATTATTTTTAATAAACTATGACAACTGTGTTCGATACATCACAATCCACTGATACATGAATAACAATTTATGACCTTCAACGGAGCAGAGAGAATAATTTACTTTTTGTGTTTTTCAAATATGTCATGCTCCCAAAATAAGCATTAAGACCTCACTTGCATAAATGTTTTCAGATTTCTAAGCACTGAATAAAAGATTGGCTCAAAATGATCTAAAGACAGAATTATGACATTAAAATGACTGCTGAGATTATTTGGTTCTATATACCGTTTTGATGCAAAAACTAAGACTATAAGATAAAATAGAGAACTGTAGAATAAAAAGCAAGGAAAATTACACAAGGTGCTTTGTCATTTGACATTGCCAAGCTACTGGTTAGCTACTACGCATCAATATTAGACAACCCCAAAGTGCAGGCTTCCTCCAACGCTGTCCTATTATAAACTGGCATCAAAAGGCTGGCTTTTGGTGGTACAATTTTTTTAAAAAAAACTAAAAATTAATGCTGAGCCATACCCAGCACTCTCATTTGCATTATTTCAGCCTCCAAGACAGTCCTCCATCACACACATCAAATTTGAAAGTGAAGAGTTTGGGGATATTTTTTTAAAAAAATACTAGACATGAGACCTCTTTATCCTTAAAAAAAAAACGGTGAAACATTCACCCCATTCTGATGTCAAAAAACTTCTGCTAGTTATTGCCTCCTGCAACTGATCAGGAAAAGGAATATTGCTCCTGATACAAGGAAAATTGTGTATCCGTTACACCAGAGGTCTTCAACCTTGGCAACTTTAAGACCTGTGGATGTCAACTCCCAGAATTCCCCAGCCAGCTGAGTTGAAGTCCACGGGTCTTAAAGTTGCCAAGGTTGGGGACCCCTGCGTTACACAATCCATACAGATCAATAACAAAAGAACATGTAAATTACTCACAGATGTAATGATCTCGTACCCGAGCCAAACGTACAAGGTTTTTCAAGTCGTCATGACGAAAAATTTCTCTACTGAATGTATCCAATCGAGCATTAGCTACTCTTGCTACTTTCTTTCCTAAGGGGAAAAAAAAGAACCAATACCTAAATTCCAAGATAAATTAACATATTTTCAATGAACCTTTTCTACATACTGCTGGATTAGGTTTATTCGTGTTTGCTTCAACCTAATTACAAAACAGATTCCAAATAATATCTCGCCCACCTAAGTTGCTGGTTAATAGTTTGGAAACCTGAACAAAAAAACCCACCCCTGCAGTCTGATGCTATGTAGACTTTTCTAGATACCCCTCAATGAACTTAACTGAGCTTTTCTCTTAAGGGTTGTAATCAGTCTTCACTGTTCAGAACCCAACATCAGGCACTGACTTGATTTTTTGATAGTGGAGGGGAAAAAACTTAGTCTCTGCACAGCAAATAGAAAAAAAAGTGGAGGAAGGAGTCCACTCCATTTTTGTTGTAGCTATGTTGCCATTTTTGTAACAGCCCCCAAAGAGCTGGTTGGAAGATGTTATAGATCAAAAATTAGACTGTAAGAAAGGCAAACGTGTACTTTATCAAACAGAGGTTATAAAGATCTGCCATAGGGAGAAATTGGTCAATAAAACTGTGATTTTGTTCAGTTTAAAGAATGAAGAAGGAAATTACCTCTGACTTCCTCAATCTCGATAACCCCAGAAGAAAAACACTTTTTCAGCCGCTCAGCTGCTTCCCCTTCAACAGGTTGCAATAAAGTGATTTCTGGCAACAAACGGTAACTGGCTGTGGCAACTGGAGAAAATTTGGCATGATCTTTGCCTAAAGAGAAAGAGTTTCTTTTAAAAAGCAAATGGATGCAATCAGGCATCAGTGGGATGAGGTGGAGGCAGAGAGAGAACGCTGGCGGCAAATAACGGTAGGACGTGTGCTGCACATCTGTCCAACCCTCTAGGTAATAAAAATCAGTTACACTCTTCTAAACTGGTCATTAATCTTTCATAACATCTGTCAGTAATGCTGGTACACAAGAGAAGCTGAGCACAAGCAGAGAACGCACATGGCAGGGATTCTTAGACTATGTCTTCAGATTGCCAGGACTCCACCTAGTCCAGGGGTAGGCAACCTTGGCTCTTTTATGACTCGTGGACTTCAACTCCCAGAATTCCTGAGCCAGCCATGCTGGCTCAGGAATTCTGGGAGTTGAAGTCCACGAGTCATAAAAGAGCCAAGGATATCTACCCTTGACCTAGTCAATAAGTCTTCCCCACTAATTCATTGCCAATTAGCTTATCAGAACCCTATTCACCTCAGCCCTTACCGCCCAACCTTTACTACTACTACCACTACCAACCTTTACAACTTGCTGCTTCACAAAAATGAATTGTTGACCGAAAACAGATTCACTGAAGCACACAAGAGATAATATAAACAGCAACAGGAATGCTACAATTCGCATTATTGACTTTATGCAACGCAAAACTCGAGCACACCCTTTACAATACAAAGACAGGAAATTACAAAGTACTGTGGATCAGTTGTGCTATCCCATAAACACACAAAAAAACCCAACTTATTAAACAAGCCAGAATAATCCAAGTGGTGAATCAACTACACCTTACCCTCTCTAAAAAGGACCCCATCACTGAGATCTAGCATCTATTGAGGAAATATCAGCCACATGTGCAAAATGAGTATTCTCTCCCCCCCCAAAAAATGAAATTGCCAAATTGATATCAAAACTTTAGCTGTCTCACCAATGCCCTTTACACAGTGCATAAGTACATCGATCTCTTGGCCAGGACGCAACTGAGCAATGAGGATATCATCATGGACAGGTCGGAAATTTGCATTCATGTTGTCAGCTTGAGATCCTAGTGGTACCCACTCCATGTGTTTGCTGTAAACTATAAGAAGACTATATTTTAAAAAAAGGTTGTGCTTACAACTACACAAACTATGGCATTATTCGTTTAGTTGCAAGGCTTTATATGCTGCTCCAATTCAGCAGGGAATCTTCTTAATCAACAGGGAATAGCTAACAATTCTATTCAAAGTGGGGAGAGGGGAAGGAAAAACCACACACACAACACACAAAAACCCTAATTTTGCAAGCCCTGAGTTCTTTATTCCAATGTTAAAGAAGATTTAATAGACTGAGAAGGCTTGAATATGAGATTATGTCAAAAGAATATTTGTATTAGAAACATAGAACAGTAGTCACTGCTGACTCGAAAGCAAGAATTTTACCTTTATGGTTGATATAAAGCTCATTAGGATCAGATGATTCTCTAGCCGCCTGAAGATTCCTGCTGCATTTTATTTTCAACTGAAACTGCAGTGTGTTAATTTCATCACATTCATCTTCTGAAAAAAGAAAGAACAAAATAAAGCAAGATGCACACACATTGTTTTAAGTTCTATTAAATAACAGCCAGTTTCAGCCCCTGACAAATACCTCCAACATTATCTTACCTTCACTCTTGTATTCAAAGAGACGAGGATCTGCACAAATAGGAATTAGTCCCAAACGGTGAGCCAGGATTTCATCCTGCACAATGGAGGTGTTGTTGTATACAAAGACTTTCTCCACAGCCATGGTTGGCACCTAGGCAGCAATTTGTCAAAGCACACGTCCTCAGTATCTATGAAATTCTGGATTCTGGTGGTCTAACATACTGATCTAAACAAATCCATCAAGTCTTAAGATAGACATTTTTTAAAAGGCCTTTGTAGACTCCCCAATGTT